GCGCCTCGGTTGCCGTCGACGCGCTTCAGCGCTATGGCCTCGGCCAAGTTGATGGCCTCTCCCTGTTGTCCTCGGAAGGTCTCTGGGTCCTCCAGAATCTTGGCGGTCTCCTCGTCGATCATTCCACTCTCTGCCGCGTCCCTCGGCTTCACGATCCTCTTCCTCATCTTCTGGAGCACGACGGGCTTCGCCTGCTCCAGCAGGTCCGGGCTCTGCGACATTGACCGCGCGCGTCCGATGGCCACCTGGTACTTGGGCTCCGTCGTCACCCTGCTGCGCGTCCTCTCGCCTTCCGAGAGCATCTCGTCGTCGCTGGGTGGCAGCGGCGTGGTCGGCGTCCTGGAGCGGGTAGGCGTCCCGGGTGCCGAGAGTGTGGCGGCCGCAGTCAGCCTGTCGAGCTCCTTCCTTTCAATGACCCCCCTCTGCACGGCCGCATCCGGGTCCAGCTCCTCGCCCGTGGCGCGGTCGAGGACTTTGACCACGGTAGACACAGTCTCGGTGCGGGTGGCCAGCACCTCGCCGTCGCCTGCCTCAGCCGAGTCCAGAGCTCGCTCCAGCTCGCGCACGGTGTTTTCATCCACGAGGCCCTCGGCTATGGCCTGCTCCAGCGGCACCTGCTCGCCGGTACGCGGGTCCACGATCAGCTTCTTCATGAGGGCGAGCGGCGTCCCCAGTACCGCGACAACGCCGAACTTGGCGGCCTCGCTGAGGGGGATGCGCCTGCCTGCGCGGTCCTTGTAGTCTCCCGTCACCTTGTCGATGATGCCCTTGCGCATGGCCTCGTTGATGTTCATCTCCTTCCCCGTGTAAGGATCTTTTACTTTCACCATCCTGGGCTCCAGCCGCTTGTCCTTGACCGCCTCGAGCAGCCCCACGGCCTCCCCTTGTCCCTCCCCCGTGCCTGTGCAGATGACGAGGGCCGAGGTCGGGTCGAAGATGACACCCGGCTGTACTTGAAGGGGTTCCAGCCCCGACAAAGGTAGCACGGCCTCACTGCTCTTTATCTCGACGAAAGTTGGCGGACCTCCGTCCTCGGAGGCCAAGGAGACCTCAACCTCGACCACATCAGGCCGTCCGATGACTTTAGTGACCTTAATAACTCTAGTGTTGGGCGAGTTGGTGTCCGTTCTCTTCTCCAGAATGACAAGTTGATTGGCGATTGCCTCCTTCATCGTCATCTTTTTGTTGCCCTCGGGCAGAGGATAGTGTCCTGTCGCGTCCAGCAGGCCCTTGTCGAGCGCGCGGAGCAAAGGCTGAGTCCGCTGGCCCTTCGGGTCCTTGGGGTCAAGCACGGTGGCTGAGATCGGGTTGATGATCTGGAGCTTGACGCACTCCTCGAGGGAAACCAAGCGGTCTGTGCCAGGCACAATGAAAAGCCCCGTGACTGGGTCGAACATCCTCTGCTCGATGGCCTCAGACAGGAACCAGCCGTCCGGGGGCACCTCGTAGGTATGTCCCTCGACCTCCGCCACGGCCTCGCCCTGTTGTAAGGACTGGGTTGACGCGACAGACACGTAGTGATCCACGTGCTTGGTAACGGTTTTTGATGTGGTCGTCACGTCGATATTGAGCAGGCTGTCTAAGAGCGCAGCGCCCTGTGGAGTGATCAGCTCGCGGCTCACGGCCTCGTCGGTAAACAGGGCCTTCTTCGTCTTGGGCTCCAGCACCTGGCCTGTCTTGGGGTCCAACCTTCCTCCCACCACAGCCTGTATCACAGTGAGCTCGTCGTCCGGCACGTCCTCACTCGACATCCCGATGGCCTTGTTGAGCTCGGCCATGACTGCCGGCCTCGCGCGGCCCTGCTC